TGTTAGTCAATGTATATTTACGCTATTTACAGGTCATATTTGCTAGAGCTTGATGTTTAAACAAGACTATGTCGCTGAAGCATGTAAATGCTATTACAGCTTGTTAACAAACCATCAAAGCTAATTAGTTAATATAGACGACCGGTTTTTATTATCGATTGAGCTAGTTTGTCATGAGGACTAATCAATATAATATTACGATAATGCATGTGAGCATTAATCAGAGGACTATTAGAATACAGGGTTAACATAAATATAAAATCGATCGAGAAAGTTGAAGTGGAAATAAGGATTAATAATAATAGGTTGCGTTTCTTTAGTTGGGCTCACCAATGTAGAATTATGGTCTACTATGATATATGTACTGCTCTAGTAATAGACCCAATCCTAAATTTGTAGATTTGTCATGATATAACTGCCTAATCTATAAGATCTTACGTGGAAGTCACACCATCGACTACACCAACTCACTGTATCGTATCAATTACCAATACATGATGTAGAACAAGGTTAGGTTAGAGAAGGAACAATATATTTAATATGAATAGAAGATATGACGTAACATTGAGATGGACCACGCCTGCATGGCCGAGCCATGCCATCTGATCAACTCCAATCCATTCAATTCATTCTCCGCGCCTTCTCCATTGTTAGGTATTTCTCCGCGTTAAATATTGAATATCTATTTTCTGAGTAGTCTCGTGTTCACAGCTTTGTGGATTGTGTGGCTATTGTCCAATGCCACTACAAACGTTCTTATAAAGTTCGTCGGCTCCTATAGGCCATCAAACTCAGCACAATAGCCACCAAATCACCTTTCACAAAGCCGCGACGCTTCACTGAGTGTTTTAACGGTTTTTCATGAGTGGTAAGTCTCCTCTTACCCATCTTTTCCAAATTTTATCCGCGAAGTATTAATAACTTATCTGTAATGCCCGCTTCCCTTGTACCAACCTTGAATTCCCTTCCTTCATGTGAGCTTACTCCAACTTGTTAAACATCACAACTCATTGTTCTTTATTAGTACATTCTCTAATATGGAGCCTCTGACTTCACTTCACTCTAACAAGACATTATATGAATTTATTCTAATTTATTATACCTCTGTCCGTTCTACTACACACTGTTAAGCAACCTTTGGCCTTCATATGCAAGTGCCTTGCTGCTCTTCTGTTTCTCTTTTTTTCTCCTTCAGAATCTTGCTCTGAGAGCACAGCTATGAAACTCCTGACCTTTGGAACAAACTTAACGTACGCGTCCTCTCAAGGTCATAGTTTACAGAAAGCGCTCTACGATTTCACTTTATAAAAACTATAAACTTAATAAGTTGGGAAGCATTTTGCGAACCAACAAATGTTGTAATTTATAGATCATGCCTGTAAAAACGGTGTGTACCTGCAAATGCAGAAATATATTATTATTATTATTATATTTATCGCTACTACTGTTTTCTTTCGTAATTTCAGCACCTCTTGGTAATGACAAACTGTTCAGATAAAAGGCTAGCCAGTTATCAACATCCTATGTAGCGGGAGATATAAGGTATTTATCCAACCTGGTTTTCACTTCCGCTTGATAACTGAACAAAGTTTACCTATTTAAAATTTACTCGCTAGTCATCATCAGTAACATAGAGCATTCTTTCTTCTCATAAAAACTCATCTTTTATACAGCGCACTCATGCTAGTTTTCAGACATAACCACCAATTTACAACATCGATTGAAAAATTAGATGGTGACTTCGCAGTACTATTGAAAAGAACAAATCGGTAAGATTATAAAACAGAATTTTCACAGAGCGGTGAATCGGTTTGTGTGAGAGAAGAATTTTATGGGTTTACAATTGTTGTACAGACTTCAAAGGGATTCTGATATAGTCGCGACCATGATTTGGGCGTGTATTACGTATATTACATAAGTTTAGGTAGAAGACCTGCAGCTGCCAGTTACAAACACGTTACTGGTAGAATAAAATGGAAAGGCTAGTAGCAATAAGACTAATGGCTAAAAATGTTCCATAAAACTCGATTCCTTGCAATGGAACAAACTGATGTACATTTAATTAATCAGCTTTCACTTAAAGAAAATAACATAAAAGAAGCCACATATATTGTAAAGAAAGAAAATAGGCAGGTCTATACTGACAGAAAATCATTTAAAGTGTATGGCGAGAAACGTATTTGCGATATCATAGACGTAGTGAGAAAACGTAAAGTGCTTGGATACCTGAACCACTCTACCATTATTATAAGCATTTATTTATCGCGTTTATTTTCTATTTTTATTATGCACAACCCTCTGAAGGCCAGTTCAGTGTTCTGAGTTGTCCTGAAAAATCGGCGAAAGCCTGAAAATATAATTCTACAAGGTGGCAAGAGCAAGCGAAGCTATAAGTTTCATGCCTAGTTAGGAAGCATTTTTTTTGCGAATTGCGTGTTACACGCATGTCGGACAGTTGAAACTTATCGAGTTTAGATTAAATGTGACAACACTGGAATAGCACTGGACCCCAGCTGCATGTAGACTCAAGCTGAATACTCTATGACCCAAGAGATTCACTCCTGAGCATTGAGTGGTGGGCCTATTAAATACGACGTCAGCGGTAGCTGAGCGGCGTAGTGCGCAATCTCAAATAAGTATCTGTCTGAAAACTGCTGGATTAATAATAATAATGACAATTTATTCTCAAATAACAGTTTGTTACATGAGGCATGCCAGTTAACAGGCAAGATAAAATTGTTACGAATGATACAATTTTCACTGTAGCAAATTACTCAGCTGGGTTAATATTTTATAAGATATGAATTTAGATAGTTTAATTCAGTACCACAGTTAGCGCGCTTCGTGAAGGTTGCGTTGCGACGTGCAACTGATGGTCGAGAATAGATCCACTGAATTTGAGGGCCTCTAGAAACTGCAACCTTATATCCCTCTGCAATATCTTAGGCTTTGATGATGGCGCAGGACGAAATCACCCGTTCCATAACTGGAATATCCCAAGGGGGCTGAAAAAGGGTGCAAGAAAAAGAATGGACGAGAAACAGAGCAGACAGTGTTCATGAAGGAATGGTTAAAGTATGACTACTGAATCTAATTCTCATTTATTTGTATTTGTTAAGCAAGAGCATTCCGATAGTCTGGAGAAAATAAGTGTAAACAAGTCATGAGTGAATAAACAACTGAAAAATGGAGGTGGTTCAGAAAGAAGCTGAGAGTATGGGATTATGTGTAGCTATAAAATTAAGTGCTGAAAACAGTATTATGATACACAAATGGCGCTCCCTTTTTTTCGAAGCCATTTGAGCCTTTTTTCAGGTTTCATAGGGTCTTGAGTAGGTTTCGTCTTTAGCGCATTGTTTAGTTTGCTTGTAGTAAGATTAATCGATAGGAAGTGAAACCAATTCAACGTTCTTAACACGATTTAATGAGGTATTTTGCATAATAAATCGGCATCGATACCATTAGTTCGTGACATTCCACCAGACCATAAGGAGCCGCAATTAAAAAATGATCTACCCTACAGACATGTGTAGCTCCGCCTGAAGTCCCTCCGGGGGCTACTGCCGGTCCCAAGCCCGGATAACGGAGGAGGGTTGGGCATGGGGTTAGCGTCCCCATCCCGTAGAAAACTGACTCGCCAAATAAACGCTAACCAGAAAAAATTATTCAAACCTTTTAAACTCTGCCCTGGGAGTCAGAAGGTCTTCATTTAGAAGAACTATGACGCCTCATGATGAAAGCCGAACTCCTTCGGCAGTTACGAGGCCGATGCCCCTTTTGACAACCAGAGCGACCATTTATTCAGGTACATGGAATGTTCGTACAATGTGGGACACCGGGAGAGCCTTCCAAATTGCTGCAGAAATGAGAAGATACAACCTGAGGTACTTGGGATCAGTGAAACACATTGGACGCAAGTTGGACAACAACGACTAACTACAGGAGAGCTCCTGTTATACTCCGGCCATGAAGAAGAAAATGCCTCACATACACAAGGAGTTGCATTGATACTGTCCAAACAAGCGGAAAATGCGCTTATATGATGGGAATCTCATGGACCAAGGATCATCAAAGCCTGGTTCAGAACAAAGAAAGAAGGCATTTCAATGAACATCATCCAACGCTATGCGCCTACCAACAATTACAATAAAGACGCTAAAGATCAATTCTACAATAGGCTGCAGTCAATCGTCGAGAAGTGCCCAACAAAGGACCTGACCATTCTGATGGGAGATTTCAATTTCAAGGTTGGAATGGACAACACCGGATATGAAGACATCACGAGACGACACGGACTGGGAGAAGGAAACGAAAATGGTGAGAGATCTGCAAACCTATGTGCCTTCAATAAACTGGCCATAGGCGGCACCATATTCCCACATAAACGCATACACAAAACCATATGGACTTCACCGGATCACACCACGCAAAACCAAATAGACCATATTTGCATCAACAAAACGTTCAGGAGGACGATGGAAGACGTGAGAACCAAGAGAGGAACTGATATAGCATCAGATCATCACTTGGTGGTCGCCAAGATGAAATTGAAACTCAAGAAGCACTGGACAATGGGGCGGACAATATCACAGAAGTTCAATACGGCCTTTCTTCAGGATACTAACAAACTCAACGAATTCAAGATAGACCTCAGCAACAAGTTCCAGGCCTTTCATGATCTACTCAATGGAGAAGGAACTACTGTGGAGAGCAACTGGAAGGGCATCAAAGAAGCAATCACTTCAACATGTCGTGAGATCCTGGGTCACAAGAAGTACCATCACAAGGAATGGATCACTATTGATACACCGGATAAGATTCAAGAAAGAAGGAACAAGAAGGCAGCAATCAATACCAGCCGAACAAGAGCAGAAAAAGCCAAGGCACAAGCTGAATACACAGAAGTAAACAAACAAGTGAAGAGGAGCATCAGAAACGACAAACGTAAGTATGTGGAAGATTTAGCAACGACGGCGGAAAAGGCTGCAAGAGAAGGAAACATGAGACAATTGTATGACACAACAAAGAAACTCTCTGGAAATCGCCACAAACCAGAACGACCAGTGAAAAGCAAGGAAGGCGAGGTAATCACCAACATTGAAGAGCAACAAAACAGGTGGGTAGAACACTTCAAAGAACTCTTGAATCGACCAGCTCCACTGAACCCACCCAACATCGAAGCAGCACCCACGGACCTCCCAATCAATGTTGGCCCACCAACAATTGAAGAAATTAGCATGGCCATCAGACAATATTCCAGCAGAGGCACTAAAAGCAGACGTAGCGGCAACTGCAAGGATACTCCACATTCTCTTCAATAAGATTTGGGATGAGAAACAAGTACCAACAGACTGGAAAGAAGGACTTCTGATCAAAATACCGAAGAAAGGCGATCTCAGCAAGTGTGATAACTACAGGGGCATCACTCTTCTCTCAATACCGGGAAAAGTCTTCAACAGGGTATTGTTAAACAGGATGAAGGACTGCGTAGACGCCCAACTTCGTGACCAACAGGCAGGATTCCGTAAGGATAGATCGTGTACAGACCAAATCGCAACTCTACGGATCATTGTGGAACAATCAATTGAATGGAATTCATCACTCTATATCAACTTCATTGACCACGAAAAGGCATTTGATAGCGTGGACAGAACAACACTATGGAAACTTCTTCGACACTACGGCGTGCCTCAGAAGATAGTCAATATCATACAGAGTTCATATGATGGATTACACTGCAAAATCGTGCATGGAGGACAGTTGGCAAAGTCGTTCGAAGTGAAGACCGGTGTCAGGCAAGGTTGCTTACTCTCACCCTTTCTCTTTCTCCTGGTTATCGACTGGATCATGAAGACGTCAACATCTGAAGGGAAGCACGGGATACAATGGACATCTAGGATGCAGTTGGACGATCTAGACTTCGCAGATGATCTGGCCCTTCTATCCCAAACGCAACAACAAATGCAGGAGAAGAGGAACAGTGTGGCAGTAGCCTCAGCAGCAGCAGGTCTCAATATACACAAAGGGAAAAGCAAGGTTCTCCGATACAACACAGCATGCACCAATCCAATCACAATTGACGGAGAAGATTTGGAAGATGTAAAAACCTTTACATATCTGAGCAGCATCATTGATAAACAGGGTGGATCTGATGCAGATGTGAAGGCGCGGATCGGCAAAGCAAGAGCAGCATATTTACAACTGAGGAACATCTGGAACTCAAAGCAACTGTCAACCAACACCAAGGTCAGGATTTTCAATACAAATGTCAAGACAGTTCTACTATATGGGGCAGAAACCTGGAGAACTACGAAGGCCATCATCCAGAAAATACAGTTGTTTATTAACAATTGTTTACGTAAAATACTTCAGATCCATTGGCCGGACACTATTAGCAACAACGTACTGTGGGAGAGAACAAACCAGATCCCAGTGGAGGAAGAAATCAGGAAGAAGCGGTGGAAGAAATCAGGAAGGGGCGGTGGAAGTGGATAGGACACACATTGAGGAAAGCACCCAACTGCGTCACAAGACAGGCCCTCACTTGGAATTCTCAAGGCCAAAGGAGAAGAGGAAGACCAAAGAACACATTACGCCGAGAAATGGAAATAGACGTGAGAAAAACGAACAAGAATTGGACGGAAGTAGAAAAGAAGGCCCAGGATAGAGTGGGTTGGAGAATGCTGGTCGGCGGCCTATGCTCCATTGGGAGTAACAGGCTAAGTAAGTAAGTAAGTAAGTAAGTACAGACATGTGTGGATTGAAGTTATCTCCCCACCATCATGTTTGCTGGTCAGTAACGCCACCCTCCCTTCTTTTGTGATGTTAGGCTCTCTTACGTTTGTGGTAAATATGAATGCTGCTTTGATCAAAGCCCATATTTGGAATATACTGTCTCTACTAGGTCCACGTTACAAGCAAATCAGATGGTTAAAGCATTTTTATTATGGGTTAGACATCCATTTAGTATATCACACTGCTATGAAGATAACTAATGGTAAAAGTTAAAAACAACAGGTTAGATTATATGTGGTTTAAAGATGGTAAGGACTACTAGCAAATCAAAGGATATGAAAGAGTATGAAATTGTAGAATTTTCAGGGTAAGAAAAATAAAACACAGAGCAACTCACAAGACTTTAGGACATTTTGAGCTTCGTATGATCGACCTTGGTGGATCAGCATCCATACGATTTGTGAGTTATCAGTCTATTTGCAATAGAAAAAAAGGACAAGACACTTAGGAAGAATATTGTATCTCCAACAATTACAGAGATTTGGGAACTGAAAGTGAAGGTTAGGAGCATAAGGCCATGATTAACAAACAATGATTGGTAGGAAAGGATAAACCATATGTTCTGTAACTTAGTTATATTCATATTAATAACAATGAGCCTCGTTATCTTCTTGTTCCATCTAGATATTAGGCGGTCCATAATAAAGTGCCTCATTTTTGAGCGGGAGTTCAAGGAAATGTTGAAGCTCCTTAGGGTCCGATAACAGGGTTATTAGCCTTTTGAATCCGGTAAAAGTATCACAGTTATGGATAGGTATTGGCAACCAGTTCCACAATAAACTACGGCACACTGTAAAAAACTCACAACGCATTTGGTTTTGGTGTTTTACGGTAGGCAGTGTATATGAGTTGTTTCTTAGTCTATAGGCTAGGTCGTGAATCATAGTCGGGAAGGAGGTTAGAAATGAGAGTTCATGTATCGCTTTGTAGAGAAATATTAAATTGTTCTTTAGCCTTCGGTGCCACAAAGGTTCTAAAGAGAGTTGCTTACATCTATCTGTGTAATCTAGATTGAAGTTACTTCCTAGCAATTGGCATGTGAAGCGTCTTTGGACATCTTCTACTCTTATTTTGTCTATGGTATTCATATTAGAGAAGATAAAAGAGCAGTATTCAAGGAAAGGTCGCACACATATTTTGTGGAGAGTAGGCTTAACCTCTGTTGCGAAGAAATTTCTCATGATGAAACCATGCTTCAGAGATCATTATAAGTGTACAATCCAAACTACAGTTTGGACTGAAGAATAGCCGTTCAGGTAGGTTAGACACGCGCCCTTGCTCGTCAACATCAAAACAAGTAATCGGGTAAATGACGGTTCTGTAATTTGTCATAAATTTAAATGTACATCGTTACCTAGACAAATATTACCACCCGGCTATTCAACCAATAATCGTTCAATCAATCAAATCGAAATTAAAATAAATAAAGAAGTTGATAAAAGATGCAGGAAAAATTACCAGTCTTAACAAATGGACGCTATTCTATCCTGACTGGATAGAACACGCACAAAAGGAGGAGCAAATCAATATGGCTGCCGCCAAGAACAAGTATCATGTAAAACAACATAGATGCAGTTCGCGAAGAAACACAAAAACTTAGTGAAGGCGTAAGAAAAATAAAAACTATAATAAAAATACAAGCATTAACAATTCAAATGTAATCAAAAGATTAACAATGTACAACTAAGGAGACCAATAGGAACAAAGTGCAAGCGTATGCAAGGAGGGATTTTCACACACACCAAACATTCCAAACGGATCTTACAATAAGTGATGGTTTATATATGGATACAAACAGGGCTAAATCTGTCTTTTTATTGCCGATCGACCTAGCGTTGATAAGGCATGTTAAACTAGGACCTCTTCTTTTCTTGACTTACATAATAGAACTTCCACAACAGGTATCGTCTGAATGATTGTCTTTTGCTGATGATGTGAAACAGTGGAGAGAGATACTCAGCCGAGAGGATATACTGGCACTTCAGCAGGATCTGCCTCGAATCAAAAGTTGGGCAGATGATAAGGGACTTATCTTTAACACTTCTAAGTGCAAAGTAGCCCATCTGAGACATGATGTAGACTACAGTTAAAACTTAGGAAACTCCTCTCTAGAAGTATCCCAAATTGAAAAAGATTTAAGAGTGCTGGTACCCTACGATTTGAAGTCTTACACTAACTGTGAAAAAATGCCTTTCGAGTAAACCTTGCACTGATAACATTGAATCGCATTTTTGACTAGTTTGACGGTAAAACATTCCTTATAATCTTAAACAGTTTTATTCGTCCCCATTTATAATACGGAAACATAATATTTCCTCCCTCACTCCAAAATGATAACAACACTCTGGAGCATATCCAACGGCGAGCCATGAAATCAGTTCCGGGACTCAAATTCAAGCCTTATGAAGAGTGCCTCTAATCACCAAACACTTAACCATTACAGTACAAGCGTCTTAGAGGTGACCTTCAATGACTTAAAGCATCCTAAATACTTCTGGACATCCCCTTAGACACCTACTTAAGCTTGGTCTCAACACTAACCTAAGGGGTGACACTCAGAAACTAGAGACACAACACAGAAGAACGAACTGTAGACACAACTTCTACTATTTAGGAGTTGTCAAATGCTGAAATTCGCTGCCGGCTGAGCTGGTCCAAGTGACTTCTCATGAATCCTGTAAGAGGTAACTTGACTTATTCTTAAGGACTAAGGATAGTATCTTACCATGATTTACCAATTTCTTTTCACTTTTTTATCGTTAATCTAGGTTCCTGCCTGTGGGTATCGGTGATCCACTGCTACTAGATACGGAAGCCTGTTAAGCAAAAGCTTCTTGTATTCCGTCCACAACCATTTGAACCTTTTTGAATTTTAACAAATCATTACATTCAATCGACATCTTGTTTAGACTGAATCTTTTCGGCATTTCTTCATAAATTCCTTCTTAACCATCGTAAGAATTTAACGCCTAGTGGCTTCAAGCCCACTTACCTCTAAACATACTGGATAAACCCATCCGTCATGTCCCGGAAAACTTAAAACGCTTATAGATTCCATAAATCCTTTTTACCATCATGTAGCCTGAACTTATTTAATCTACTGACAGAGGCGGGCCGGGATGGGAGAGAAATGATGTTTCATGCATTATAATTTGACTGCAATCATGGGGTTTTTAGGCTTACTGTTCTTGAGAACGGGTTCCGGATAATTGGTAGGGATCTTAAGATATCTCCCGTCCATTAGGGTTGGACGTTCCAACCGAGTTGACGTATTCACGTAGAAGTTCAACAAGCCGGGTCATATGTGAGCCTCACATAACTCCGTTGCTTGGCAGACGTACAGTGATGCCCTACAGTAAGGAGGTTAACCATGAATGTACAATGCTGGATCTCGCGCTTCTCAATAAGGCAAAACACTATCACCGAATACTGCCGAAGATTTTCCCCATAGAAATAACTGCAAGGGCTAC